GCATTTCGCGCACTCGACACGCACGATCTCCGCAGAGGGTTGCGCGCACACCGGACAAATCGCACTCTCGCCTGCATTTCGCGCACTCGACACTGTAAAGAATGTCTCCTACGTCACGGGGCGATGATGCAGCCTTGGCAATGCATGGCCTGCTACATGTGGAAGCAAGAAGATGCATTTGTCGCTTACGGGAAGTGAACCCTGCGCACGCGTATGGCCACAGACCGTCGCGCCCGGACATATGGTGTTTGTCTCCGTACGAATTTACGACAACGTGGGAGCTGGAGCCGCTGCGGATTCCACGGACACGTAGTGAGTGGCAACAGCTGCGCGGCGCGCACTCGGATGTGACCTTGACAGCCAGGGGCGCCGCAAAATGCGGCGCGGCCGGGGCAGACAACTGCAAGGTGCGGCTGCTGCCAGGCGTCGACTTCAGAAGAGCAAAAGGCGCAGAAAGCCGGAACAAGGCGTATTATCCGTCAAGCGCCGGAAACGCGCTGTGCCACGCCTGGTGTTTGCGTCGCAAAGCCCGACCACAGTGCCCCCAGATGGCCAGCGCGCCGGTGCCGAATAGAACGGGCGAAGACACGGAGAGCAATGCGAAGATGACGATGACGTATTTTCGGGCATGGACACTGGACAAAAAACGCGCTGGAGACACAGTGCTGTACATCAAGCACTTGCGTGAGCCGGGAACGACGTGGGACAGAAGCTTGCGCAGGTGTTTGCTAAAGCTGCCATGTGCCGAGACAAAGCAATACGTGGGCAACTTCTTGAGCGTGTACCGCGTCCGGCCGGAAACCGAGCTGGACAATAGCGACAACGAGGACGACAAGGAAGAGCTGGTTGTGACAGAAGAGTTGTTAGGCATCGCCTGCCAAACACATGTGGCAGTGGAAGAAGACCACAACAAGGAAGGCAAGTGGTCCAAACATCGACGTTTGCTCGTGGACGCGTTACAGCGCGCCGAACAGCACTGGGGTGGCTGCGGCGTAGCGACGAGTGCACCGGGAGAAGTGGAAAACCCATACGCGACAACCGACGCAAAGGGCGTCGTCAAAGGTTTGCATCGCTTGGCGGAGGCCCCCGCTGGGAACGCAACGCAGACGAGCCTAGAGCCGAGCGTGACGCGACGGCCCGGCCGGTTGCAGGACACCCTGGCGGCAATCGACCGATGGAGCAGCGCGGTTGCCGACGGCCCATGCAACCGCAAACAGGCCGAACTGTGTCAGCGCGTTGCGCAACAGGTCCGCGCAGAGCTGCTGGCAGAAGCCGGTGCCAGGCCGCAACCACTGCGTTGGGTGGTGCACGGGGGTCCCGGCACGGGTAAGTCGCACACGTTGAAATTGATCCGTCGTGAGCTCTTTGAGGGTATCGCCGGGTGGACGCATGGCTCGCAATACCGCGTTGTCACGCTGCAGGCGGTGATGGCCAAGGAACTGGACGGCGATACCATTCATCACGCGATGGGCTTAAATTGGCAAGGCGCGTCCGACGACAGGATCAGCGGAAGGAAATTCCTCGACCTCAGTGCGAAGGCCGTGCAATGGCGGTGGCTGATCATTGATGAAATAAGCATGGTAAGCGCTGAGCTGCTGGCAAGAATGGATTTACGATGCCGAGAGCTAGTGCGCGATCTAGCGCAGAGCAAGTACGCCCCGGGCAGCGCACACGCGCAGCCCTTCGGAGGGTTGAACGTACTAGTGGCAGGTGATTTATGGCAATTGCCACCACCACGCGGAACCTTTTTGGGGGAAGTGCCTTGGGAAATGCTGACCAAGGGGAGCAGCAAAAAAGTCGCCCACACCGTGCATGGGCAAAAGCTTGTGTGGGGCTCGCAGACGGAGAACAGCATCATCCACGGCATCACAGAACTCGAGCAATGTGAGCGCGCGCGAGACACATGGCTGCAGACGCTGCAGCAGCAGATTCGGGAAGGTGCCTTGAGCGCCGACAATCACGCCTTCCTCCATGGGCACGACACAGGTGTCCCGGGAAGTTGGTCTGGCGAAAAATTGGACTGCGAAAACGCAGCGTGCCAGCAACTGCTGCAGAGGAAAGTCGTCCCTGCTCGCATTCGCAGACTCGAGTGCAAGCAATGCCAGCACGAACGCGCCTCGAAAAAGCGAGTGTTGGAAGGAAACATGAGGGGTAATGAGCAAAGGAAGCTAGAGCAAGCAAAGGCTGTGTTTGCGACGAATGCGGTGAAGTACCACGTCAACAAGCTGCGGGCGCTAAACTGGGCACGCCAGCACGGGCAGGCGGTCAAATATGCCATTGCAAAAGACACAATTTCCAGCCGGGCGTTGCAAGAAAAACCGGACTTGGGCAAAGACAAGTTGACATGGCTACAACGTCACGATCAGGACTGTGGCGGGCTGTACGGGGTTTTGCCCTTGTGCATCGGCATGCCGGTCACGGCAACCGATCACTTGGATCGCCGCAGAGGCATACTGAAGGGATGTCCGGGCACAGTTGTTGGATGGAGCTGGCATGAAGCAGCGGGCGCCGCAGCAGGGAGTACGACACAGATTTGGAATGAGCTCCCAAGTTGTGTCTTTGTCCGGTTCCAGACCAAGTCAGAGTGGCGAGTGCAGGGGCTGGCCACGGACAACGTGTTTCCGGTGACGCTCCAACGGCAAGCGTGGCATCTGGACAAAGGCCGAAAGCGGCCCATGCTGCGGGTGGTGCGACGGCAATTTCCGTTGGCACCCGGGTTTGCCACCACGGCGCACGCAGCGCAGGGCCAAACTTACGCAGAAGGGGCAGTCACGGACATGCAGATCGGCGAAGGCGGAGACCCGCTGACCGCATACATCGCTGTGACGCGAGTGAAAGATAGACACGGGTTACACATATACAGACCATTCGATGCTGCACCCTATCAGAAAGGACGCAGCGTAGGGAGAGCTTTGCTGTTGCAGGCCTGGCGCGGAGAGAGCATTGACTGGGCAACGTTGCGCATGCGGCACCGCGAGGAGGAAGTGTGTAGCGAGTGCCGCGAAAGCAAACCCAGAAGCGGGTACAGCGCCGGGCAATGGAAACGGGACGCGGACGCACGTGTGTGCAGAGAATGCGTGCGCAACTACGCGGCCAACAACACGCCCTGGCAATGCAACAGTTGCAAGGCATGGAAGCACGAAGACGCCTTTGCTAGAATGTACACGCGCCCCGCATGCACGTTCTACCGCGTGTGCCAGACGTGCGAGGCACAGAAGCGGTGCTACAAGTGCGGTACGGCCAAGCCGGAAAGTGCATTCGGGGCGGCCGCGTGGACAGGGCGCCATGCACACCGACGTGTCTGCAGGGACTGCGCCATGAAAGTGAAGGGTGCATGGCGCTGCGCCGTGTGCGCGGAACGTAAGGCGTGCAATGACTTCAGCGCCTGGTCCAGGCAGCGCACTGCGCCGCAAGACGGAACGCAGCGTTGCAACGCTTGCGTCCTCAGCGCGGCCCAGCGCGCAGCAGCGCAGCGCAAAAACGACGGACGTGCGCGGTGCAGAGGACGGCCTGCCCGGGCGGATGCACCGGTCGACAGCTGCCACGGGCAGCGGTGGCCACGAAGTGTCGCTCATAGAGCCATACGGCGCCTGGCTGCGACGCGGACGAAAGTAGCCGAAGAAAAGAGACAGCAAGTCATAGGTCTTGTACGGGAAGAGATCGCTGACCATGTGCGACAGAAGCAAGCCGAGGATGAGGTGCTCTTTCCCCGGGCGCAGGAGCCGAACCGGAGCAAAGAAAGCCAGACGGCTCAAAGCAAGACGGAACCGGAGGCGCAAAGGCTCTCCACAGACAGCATGCCGTCGCGCAAACGCCGCATGGAACCACGACAAGACAAGCGCGCACAGCCGACGCCCACCAAGACCCAGCCCCGCACTCAGACAATGCAAGTAGCACAGGCAGAGCCTGCAGCGAAGTGTGCAGAAGACGTGTCGGTGAGCAGCCAAGCCAGGACAGCGCCTCCGCCACAACGAAAGTCGCAGGCAAAGCCGCAACAAGCGACGCAAGCCACCCCGACCGTCGCGCAGACGACAAACGCACCGCCGGCAAAGTTGGCTGGACAGACGGCCGCCGCGGAAACGTTCCAATATGCGTGTCCGTTTTGTGAGGTGTCTGTGACCAGCACTGTGCGCACAGGCCAAGTAGATCACCGCCGTGTGTGCGGGAAGTTGTTTCGTGTCAAAGACGGACACGTTGCCGCCAAGAACTTAGTCTATGCGTGTCCATTTTG